CTGAGGGGGCCTTCCCGGGGAGCTGGGGCTCGGGGGCGCGCGGGCCTCCCCGCCGCTGTCCGGAGCGTGCCCCGGTGTCCGTGCTCCCTGATGCAGAAGGACACGGGCTTGATTAAAGAAAAGCGGTGTGCTGTTGCCCCCACCTGGAAGATAATTGGAGAGGTTCACTGTGGTTAGCAGCAGAACAGGATCACAATGTTACACGCTTTTTGTGTTTTCCCTTTTACGAGTACCTGTGGAAGAAGCTGTAACAGAAATGTATTACCTTGAAGAGACTGAGCCAAAGTGTCCCTACAATGTATTGAGTACGATTTTGTTATAATTTTATTAGAAGGCCATCGAGCCCTCTGTTGGTTGCTTAAAATAAGCTTTAAGTCTTGGAAATTCTCATTTAATGTGGGAGATCGAAACACTACATTGCACACAATTTATGGAAGACAATTTAACTAATGGAGCTCTAAGGTAGAACTAAGAGACTCCTGTGATAGAGAGTAATCCTTCACTGGCCATTGATTTCAATTTTTACCCAGTGAGAAAAGCCCACATTAAACTACGGACTTTCAGCATCACTGTAAAAGTGGAATGCAGTAGCATAACTTGTGTATTGAACGTTTACCTTCAGTCGAGGTAGCTATAACAAGAGGGTGGTTTTCCCTCTTGGTAAGTTTCTCTTCCGTGTTACCAGTTTCTGTAAAGGCCAGTAGAAAACGTTTTTGTTCTGCGAGGTCAGAACATCAACAATGTCTTTGAAATGTGACGAGATGCTCATCATATGAAATGGAAAAACAGTGCCGTGCAGCCCTTCTTGTCGTACGCGAAGGAGAGCACGCTATATAGATACTGTTCTGTGTTGCAGGATAATTCATTTGGTGCCTGAATTTTTTTTAACTTAATTAGTTGTTCTAATCTATTCTATTGGGAATAAGATAATGCTGCTTATTCCGTGTTTCTACACAGTACTGTAATGGAATGAGGTAATTATTTTCATGCTTAACAATTCAAGAATTTTAAAAGTGATCTTTTAGTATGTGTACTTTGCAAGCTGTCTGCATGATATTCGGGCAAGTATCCTCTTAACAGACCCTCACTCGACCACTTCTATTTATCACACGGGCAAAGGAATTTACTATGTAGAAATGTAAAGACAGCAGGTGAGGGTGTGTGGTGTGTTTTATGACTGCACAAGTGACGTGTACTGTGCATTGTCCTGATTACCACAAATCTGTTAAAAAAAAAAACAACCCTGATGCCCAAAAACCCCCACAAACCCGAGCAATATTTATACAGACTCTGTTACGATGGACACAGTTTGTGGAAACAGTGTGTGATTTTTGTGTCACTTATGTCTGTTTAGAAAGATCCGCACCAGCCTTCTAAAGTCGTGTATCACAATGTAAAGGCCCTGAGGAGATAAATGACTGGGATCAGCTGTGGCTCTGACCGTGGTTCGTGTGTGTAGACCAGTGTGTTCAAACTTGGAGTTGCTCGCTAGCCGTGTAAAAGGTGTACGCCTCCTAAAATCAGGCCTGACCATTAGCCCCTGTTGACTTCAGCAGTAGTTGTGGATGTTCTGCACCAAAGAAAATCACGAGACTTTTATTTAAGCATCTAAATGAGAATTTAGATGGTTGACTTCAGGTACAAGCATTTGAAAATTTTGGCCTTAACCTCTCTGTTCTTCAGTTAATGCATCTGTAAAGTTTGATAATAGCGTTGACCTACCTCACAGGCAAGATGTGAGGCTTTATTTATTAAAGTTTTTAAGCAATTGGAGATCCTTGAAGAGGAGGTGCTATAGAAGCAAAAGTATTATTACAAACGGTACTGTAGTAAGAATAAATATGTGTAAATTAATGGACATAAACAGCAGCAATGTTTTCTAAGAAAAATAAATACATAAAATATGTACATGTGTACATCATATGCACCCATACATGATTTCCCTGTCTGTGCTTCTCCTGCAACTGCAGCATGCGTATCGGCATTTCTATTCGATCAGGTAAGCTCCGGTACCCCGCAGTCCAGGCGAACCCACCCAGCAGCCACAGCCCCAACTCC